TAAGCACAATAGAGTGACATCCGCTCGATGCGCATTTGTTCAGCACCTAGTGCGCCAGGTAAGGCGACGACGTGGTTCACGCCAAATCATAATCACTGAACACCATACCGGATGGCGCACGCCCAATTACCGTAATTGCTAAACCGGGGGTCCGGCAGTGGCCAAGCAACGATTAGAGACTCATTGACTTACGGTAGTCATCCGTAGGCAAGTGGGCTTTAAGTAAAGGATTATCTGGTGGCATGATGGAGTACAGAGAGATCGGGTCTCTGTGGACGGTCGACTGTTGAAAGATCCGCATTACACAGTACGGTGGCGCCGTGTGCGTCGTTGGCACCAGCAAATCGACCTGTGTTGGCCTACACTGTCGTCTCGTTGCAGCACAATGTGCAGGAAATCTGATGCTGCCGAGGGACGGCTAGTGCGTGACAGCGATTCCACAAATCCGATCACACCCTCACAAAGCAAACCGGGACGACGCTTAAACGCAGGCGCCAACACCACAGTGTGGCCGTGCGATATTAAATTGCTAAATCGCTTCGCCGGCGCCATGTCGACTTTTGTTGTCGAAATCGCTGCGACCCATCTCCCGACGACCGCGTGCTTTGGCACCAGTCCGTCGGTCGTCTCCCGTCACCCAACGCACATTTCCATCGGACGGTGTTCGGTGCCGTCCGTGTTGGTCCCTGATCCCTGACTCTCGTTGCCGCCGATGGAGCTCGTTTCCAACATGCCAATGGCAGCTGGTCCGACTCCGCTCTCGCCTTTTCATACCATACGGTAGGCGCCGCTGATCTGTCATCGTACGGGCCTGCGCACGACACATCACACGGTTGCGACAACGAGACGGCTGTTATGAAGAGGCACGAGGGTTCACGGGCCAGCCAGACGAGCGCGCTGTCACACCTGGCTCCAAGGAGCCACCAGATGTCAATCACACATTGATTAGCCGCCACAAACGGCCATCAAACAAACATTTATATAACAATTGTTAGATCGTACACCAGGCTTGGCTTTGGCATGCCGTGCTCATACTGTAGCGATACGTCCTGTTTTACTACCCGTTTCAGATGATGATTAATTTCCAGCAGTATTGAGATGTTTGTGACTGAAGGAATTTCGGTGCATTACTAAAATGGTGCACAGTCACGCCCACGTAACCTCATTATCAA